TATTTCTTATCAATTCTTGAAAATTTCAGTCTAAACAAACTATTCTAAGTAGAAAAGGATCCTTAAACTCCTTTCAACTAGAATTGAAATTTTTGTTAAAAAACTAACTTAATAAAAAATATTGAGAGCTTTTAATGATTTAAATTTTTCTCGTTCATACATTTTTGTTTTAGCCATAAGTTCTTCAAATTTCGTTACAGTCATATCATATGAAATCCATTATGAATCAAGTAGTCGATAATCTGGTGGACCAAAATAAGTTAATAATGTTGCCATTTTATAAAATGGTCTTCGTCCAATAGCTTTATAATCTCTTCCACTTGATAAATAATCTCGAATTTTTTCTTAATAATACCATAAAAGACGATGTGTAATGCTGAAACATTACCATTACTTATATATGACACATTGGATATGTTAGTAAGATAGTTGTTGAATCATGAGTATTATTTTCAATTGATTGTTATTCATCTGATGATGGTTATTATTCGATTTAAATGAATTAGTTCACATATTGATAAAACAAAATTTGTTCCTAAATCAAATATTGAAAGAAGATAATCATTAAAACAATACATATGAAATTCTTTTATAAAAAATTAAATTATTTGAATATATTTTGTCAAATTTTTGATCACAAGTGTTAAATCATGTTTTATACGTGGTAAAGGTTCAGCATTAACTATACCAAATTCATGTAGAAGAATGAAAGCAGGATTTAAAAAACGTAGAAATATTACTGTTAATATAACCTAATCAAAAAAAAAACTACAAATATTTTAAAAATAAAAAATGAAATCGAAATAAATACTTGTAAAGGATGTTGTAGAAAATATTGTTGTACAATTTGATATAAACGAGAGCATAAAACTCATAATTAAAGTAGATATTGTGGTACTGAATCAATAATAGCTTGAAAAATATCTTGTGTTAATAAACGTAAATTTTTTCTGTTTTCATTTAATTTTTTATGTTGTTCAATACGTGATCGATCAACTTCATATGAATGGAAATCAGCAATAAACATTTTTACTAATATTTGTGCAAATAAATTATATAATTTAACAGAAAATGATGTTATTTTTGTTGGTAAATCATTTCCATGTAAAATTGTTTGATAATAATCAGCCATTTCAACTTCTTTTACAAACATATTCTATAATAATTGATGAAATAAATGTTTTGCATGAAATATTGTTATAAATACACGAGCTAATTCATCCTTAAATTAAAAATAAAAATTATTTTTTTTTTAGATATCAACAAATGTTTTTATTACTAGAAAGAGCAAAAGTCAATCGACTAAACTGTATAAATAGTTACTAAATTCGTAAGTTATTGAGTTTTATATAAATCAATGCTTTCGCTTTTCCTTTTTTTCAATTATGAAAAGATCTGGTTACTCTAGGTCTTTCTGTTTGTGAGCTTCTACAAAAACGATGACAGTAGTTATTACGGTTATTTGCAACCGTGAGACATTGATTCATCTTCATATTATATATTTAAACTATTGTCGACGCTAGAATTAACTAAAAATGAATGTAAGATGAATATTTTGATAACAACAATAGCTAACATATTGTGGTTTTCAAAAATTAAAAGAGAAGACATCAAGACGCCTTTTTCTTCAATTATTTACAAGACGAAATCATTTTTGTAAAACTTTCAAAAAACTTCATGAAAATTAACTGTCCTTTTCATGAGATCTTGATGATAATTAACAAAATTCACTTAAAAATTAACAAAGCTCTATACTATTCGAGTGAGTAAATACATGATTTCATTTGTTCAACATTACAATATGAGAAGATAATCATTCAAATAATGTCTTAATTGTGTATCTCAAGTCCGTCTATGTAAAGAACAAATCTAAATGAGATTACATTGGAATGAGAGTCAATTTTCATGCATTACCGACGTTTTCTATTTCAAGTACTAAAAGACAGAGATTGCTGTTATCTCTTAATTCTGAAGCGATAAAAGTTAATCGTATGAAAAAGTTTATCATCATTCCATGTTCATCTCATACTCATTGACTATACATCCAAAATATTTGGAGTAGACTCTCGATCTTGAACTGATCACTATAACCGTTTTATTCTAAATTGCAATATCTTGAAAAAAATTCTTAGATTTTACTGAAAAAAAAAAACTTCTTAGGCATTCTTTTCCTTTCTTACATTAAAACAATGAGAGCCAATCAGTTGTTCGTTGAATAAAAGAATTTTAATGAATACAATCAATTGAATCTATCCGAAATGATTTGTTTAATTCTGTATATCTAACAGATCGTATCTCATCAACGGGCTACGTAATGATAATAAAACACAAAATGTAAAACTTGTATCGTTTCTGCTACAAACTAGTTTCTCGATAACATAATCATGTCTCTGAGGAAAAAGTGCATTAGAAGAAAACGATTGTCTCAAGGAACATGACTATCATAAATGACATCATACAGATCCGAATAACATATTCGTGAGAATTGAATCAGTGATAAAAACTAACCATATATTGAGGAGAAACAAAACGAGACTATCCCTTTTCGTCCTTGGTTTTTTTTTACGGACATCGGATGGAGAAGTCCGTTCCGAATCCTCCGTTTCTCTGAAAAAGATCGGATGTTCGAAACTTTATGAACCAAGGCTTTTTAGCGGTTTTAGTATTTGGGTGTGGGTGTGGATGTAAGTGAAGAGAAGATAAACACCTACACCCACACCCCACACCCACACCCACACCCACACCCACACCCACACCCACACCCACACCCACACCCACACACCCACACCCACACCCACACCCACCCTCTTTAATACAAGTTCTTCTAAACTATTTGTGTTAGCTAATGGATTTTCATTTATTTGTTACAGTCCATCACGTCCATTTTCATTTGGTTAAGTTAAATTTGGATCATTTGATGATCTACCAACAACAGATGTTGATGAACTCATATTATTATTTGAAACAACTAATGTATTTGATGAACTACTAATTGTTGTTCGGCTTTCGAAAGAATTTTGAACTGACTGTTGAGCTTTCATTTCAAATATTGAATGTATTATAACAATAATACTATCGATAAATTATGTATTTTGTTTGGAACAAATAACTTGTCCCTTTCAATCAAAAATTTATCAACTTCAATTTTAGTTTGTTCAAATAATATTAGATAACATAATGAATTTAATTCATGACCAACTAAATCTTGTATATGGATATTGAATTTGTAAACCAAATATTTTTAAACAATCACCAATAAATCTATTCATAAAACTTTTTTTTTATTTTAAATTAATAAAATCAAAAGAAAAAAGACTTACTGTGTTACTAGACAATAATGAAGATCAAAAATAACTGGTTCCATTGATGTTACGACGGGTATCAGGTGGAATTCCATATTGACTAAAACAAAAAAAATTTTTTTTCAGTAGAATTCCTATGAGATAGATTATATGGATGTCGAACTCAAAGATGAGACGCAATCATTGGCAGTTAAGTAGTAAAAGAGAATAAAATTAAGAGAACCTCTCAGGAACGAATTTTTTTAATTTTTTGTCGTATTTCAATCAAAAACTTCCGAGAATGTTAGTCTTAGCTAAAATAGATTATGAGTAAAATATCTCCTTGAATCTTTAAAATACTGAAAAGTTATAGCCAATTCATTGATCAAACACTATCCTGTACACGGGCAAGGTTTTTACAATGAGGATATGAGCTAACTAGTTCGAGTGATTTTTCAATTGTAGAGTATCCTTTGGACTAGATCATAATAGAGGGCAATTTTTCAATTTCCCTTTGTTTTTTTTTCAAAAAAAAGCTTTTTGGAAAAATTCTCGACTTTGTGGCCAAAAAAAAATCACTAATTAAAATGAAAGAGCTAAGCTTTTTATTTCAGCAAAAAAGAAATTCAAAAATTGGGCTCTATTAGGATCTAGCTCTAACTATCTTTTGTATAATAAAAAAAAATTTACCGCTTCTATATTGCGTCGTTGTCAAGAAAAGCTTGCCCACATAAATCCTATACTCGAAAAAATTGATTTTAAGAAAAATGCTAAAGAAATTTTAGAAAACAATTTTTTCATTCAAATTCCTTAGGTTTTTACGAAACATACGCGATTTATATATCAGTGTTGAAGAGAAGCTCGAAATATGTGATCTTTATCTTAAGTGTTAGTATAGACTCTTAATCATTAATATAAAAACGCTTTATTCAATGCTGATACAAATAGAAAGGTACTATTTCAAAAACTAAAAATCTTAACAAAGAAAACAGCGAAAAAAACGATAGTAAACCCTAAGTTTTAGCCATTAAATCAGTCAAAGTCCATCCATTTTGCGAAAATCTATATACAAGGTGTCCCAAAAGTCCGTTAGGAAAGTTAACATATATATCTCTTATACAACTCAAGTGATTTAAGTGATTTTTCTTATAGAATGTTAGTATGTTCTTTAAAGTTTTGTTTCGCATGTTTCAGATAAATGTGTTTGCTTATAACTATTAGAATGAAAATAGTTTTGTTAATGTCCAAATTTAAGTCATCTATTGTTGTGAAACGAAAAATACGAATCGAATTTGCCATGAAAATGTCAGACATAGACTCTACTATTGATGCTTTTTAAGGCTTCTGCAAAATGAGTATAGTAGTAAATGGACAACAATCTGAATAGACCTTAAAAAATTTCAGAAGAAAAAATCGATGAAGTTTATAGTGATTGTGAAAATGTGCCACTATTGAATGTGCGGATTATTGCAACAGTCTGCTTCATTCCATGAACAATAGCAGACCGAATTATTATTACTGAATATCATTTAATGAATCTCTATAGAATGTAATTTGTCCTACAACTTCATGGAGAAGATTCACAAGATTGAGTTAAAATTATATCACTTTGATAGGAACGTTACACATATCAACAATCAGAAAAATTCTTTTTTTTTTCAGACGAAGTCTCTTTTCATTTAAATGATTTATCGATAAATATAAAGTAAAGACCTATGTGTATAAGATATATATATATATATATATAAAGATTTAGTTCAATTCAAAATAAGAACCGATAACATAAATAAATTAATTTGAAAATAAACTTTCCATAGTATTTCTTTTAAAGATTTCGAAAACGATGGATTTATGTTTTTTCAGTTGATGATAATCATTTTGAACATTTATTATAAACTAATATATATGAAATAAAACTTTAAAGACTACACTAACATTCTAGTAAAAAATTAATTAAATCGCTTGTATTATGTTAGAAATATTGACGTTAACTTTCCTAACGAACTTTTGAGACATCCTGTATATTCTGAAAGAGAGGACTCCAGTGCATCTTCCTATAATAAAAACTTGACTTCGAATTTTCTTCGAAAAATTAGATTTTCTGAGGGCTCCTTAAGTCAGACCAGTCGACGAAGGGAAAGATTAGTTCTCCCAATTTTCATGTCGTGTCTTTGAAAGTATTAAGTATATACCGATTTTTGACTCTTACTACTTCTAAAAATCATCAAGAGTTATGCCTAGAATTATCAGAAACTGACCAAACCTTAGAATACTTTCATGATCGGTACGGATGCCACATCTTCTTTTTAGAAGGTGTTTTAATTAAAGACCACAGAATAAGCAAACTCATGGATCATGTAGACCTTGATTTGTTCTATAACTTTTGTTTCAATGAATTTTTACTTTGGCAAAAAGATACCAGACAAGGTTCTGAGCTCACTCATCTTCTTTGCTGTCATCCTTTTAGATCTCATAATTCTTTCTTTGTATATTCTCGAATGTTTAGACGGAATTCATTCTCCATTTATTACAAAAGTTGACTTACTCTGCTTGATTTTTGACTGTTAACAAAACACTTCCAAGTGCACAAAAGAATTCCATCATATTTGTTCATTCATAAAAAACATCCTAAAAAACAAAAAAAAATTCGTCGAATTTCTTTTTTTTTTTTTTATTCGAATAACAAACTACAAGATCATGTTCAGTTGAATGAACTCCAGTTCGTCTGCTACTAAATTTCATATATCCATCATCTGCTAATCTACTTATATCATTTCCACTGACTGATAATGAACTTACGAGGGAACATCGCTTTTGAGTCGAGTGTATGTGCATCATGTAGACCCTAATGATCTATGAATACTCTGAAAAAAGTTCGTGCTGCTAGCTTTTTACTATCGAGATATTGCATTTTTATTGTATGTTTAAGAAAAAAAAGCTGTGATCCTCCTCAGGAACACTAAGAAAAACTAAGTTTCGAACTTCGACTTGAAACTTTGCATAGAGATAGGCCTTAGTAAGAATAGTTTATTGTGAAAGTTTCAGATCTTTTCGTTGTTTCTATCCTAAGATATAGCTATGGTAAAATAGCTTATATACATCAGCAGACTCCGATTTTCTTATTTCAGACTAAGAGCAATCAAAAGATCTGAAACTTTCACAATAAACTATTCTTATTGAGACCTGTCCTTGTACAACGTTTCAAGTTGAAATTCGAAACTCAGTTTTCCTTGTATTCCTGAGGGGGACCACAGCTTTTTGCTTATGCATACAGTAAAAATGCAATATCTCGGCAGTAATAAGCTAGCAGCACGAACTTTTTTCAGAGTATTCATAGATCATTAGGATCTACATGATTCGCATACGTTCGACTCAAAAGCGATGTGACACTTGAGAATGTTCCCTCGTTAGTATATTGATCCTCCACTACCTAAATTATCAACTCTTTTTCGATAAATAGCTAAAAACTTTGCTAAATCTTGTTGACTAACAAATGTATCATACCAAACTTGCTTACTTCCTGCTGTTTCATATTCAATACGTCTTAATAGTGAAAGAATTTGTTTTTTGTAATGTATTTCTTCTCGTTGTAACTATTATTGTTGATACTGATGATAATTTCACATGAATATTATAATTAGGTAAAAGTGTAAGTACAGTTGTTTTATTAAAATTAAATCTTATATCAGCTTCATATGCAAATAAAGTAAAACATAACATGGCAATTTTAACAGCTTCTGGATCAATTGGTCACAAATAAATAAATAAAAAAAAAACAATTTCAAGTTTCATATGTGCGTGTTTGGCCATTGGAATATTTGAACTAAGATATACATTATATTTATGATGTAATAAAAAAAAAGCATTATATAAAACAAGAATTTCTCTCAACTATCTTAATACAGATGTGTATGAATATATTTGATGTAAAACTAATTTTTGTGAAATTGAGAAAAGTACTTGACTTGATATTTGAGTAAGCCGTATTTATTGATGGTTCAGAATTCCATAATTCAATATTTGATTTTCATGTAAAACTAATAAAGATTCTATTGATGTATGAGCTACATCAGACATCATTGATTTATCATGTACAAGTGATATAAGACTATTTATTAATTCAAATGTTGATATTTGAATTTCATGATCAAATTTATTTTGACTGTATAACATTAAATATGGCTCAACTATTATTAAACCTACAATCCATAATAGTAATTCACGATTATTTGTTCCTTCTTCATAATGCATCGATTAACTATTAAATATTTTTATGCCTTTCTATCGCAATATAACTTCTGAAGTAGGTTAAAATTTAAATGTATTTTATTTAAAAAATTTTAGAAGATCACAAAAATGGAATTCAACAGTGGAATCTCAACCAGATTTAGTAGTTCGACGATTTCTATGAAAAAAAAGCAGATTTTTATTTTTTGTTTAAAATCATCAATATTTTCATTTTGATATGATCTTTCTTTATCTTTCTAGATAGAATGAATTAAAAACGTTCTTTCTTTTATCTGTTTGATTTTATGTATGTATGTGTGTTTATTATCAAACCATTTTTTTCTCTCTATCCTCTCTCTCTGTTCATATCTATTCTTCTTCCACGTAAGATGTCATTAATCTACGTACTTATAATGAAATCTTTTAGTTTCTTTCTTTTTCTCCTCCTTTCTCATTATATTTTATTCTTATCGTTCTCTTTCATTCTTTTTGATCTTTATTTTATCAACTTCATCTTATAGAAACAACAAAAAATGAACATTAAAAAAAATTGTATATGTGTATTTCTATCCTATGTTCATCTAATCTTATTTGTTTATGTTCGATTTTATTCGATGAATTTTTTTTCCTAATAAATCAATATGATTTTACAATGAATAAGATGATGATCGACATAACTGAAATCTAATTATAGTTCTTCACGAACATTTCATCGAAAATTAATCAAATAGAAAATTTTCTCTATTTATTATTGAAAAATTGAGATCCTTCAATCTAGTCAAAATACTACCAACTTTAAATCAGATACACTTCGCTTTTCACTCATGAGTATATAGCAAGATTTGTTTTCGATGATAAGTATTGTTTTTTTTTAATATTGTATCTCCTATTAATAAATCAATAAAAAATTATTGTAATCCATCGCTTTGATTCTAACCTTAAGATAAAAGTAAAAAACATGATCGAAAATATTGATTACTTTTCAGATTGTCAGTTCAAGTTAGCACTCGTTGGGTCGAAAATTTCTGCACCTACAATTGAACCTAATTTGCATAAAATTTTCAGACTTGAACTAAATCTGATTCCGGGTTCAAAAAACTTTGATCTGAAATTAATTTGAAAGAACGATCTTTATCTGAAATGAAAGTCAATGAATAGAATATCTAAACATAAAGGTTGAATATGAACAATTTTTTTATCTCCTATTGTTGATGTTATATTTGATTAATTATAAAGCTAATCTATCAAATATTTTTGATTAAAATGTTTATGGATAATTTTTTTTAAACATTTATTTTTTATTGTGCCTATATATCGAGAAAGAACGATGAATGGAAAACAACATTAACGAAAAAGAAGAGAGAACATTATGCTTATGAATATTGTGAAGGTAATTGTTATGGATGAAATAAAATGTTTTTTTAAATCTACTAAAACCAGTAACACTTAATATTCTTAATGGTTTTGTTGAAAATATGGATGATTGCTCACTGATGACATTTAAAAGCTAAATAAAATAAAATAGTAGAACCCATCATTCTTCAAATTCATTTCTTTTCTTACCTTACAAACAACAGTCAATAATTTCTTAACATAAATAGTTTCATTCAATCGATTCTTACTCAAATCTTTCGTCTAAAAACAAGCATAATTAAATTCATATTTCTTTTCTTATTTACGTTTGCTAAACATTATCAACAGCATCAAGTACAATTAAATACGACTTATAAACAATTTATTCTTAATCGTAATCTCAAAATCTCTAAGTAAACAATACAAATAAACCTTACAAAAACTGTATATCAATTATTTATAAAATATCTGTTAAACCGTTAATAACAACTAACAATTTTAATCGACTTAATACAATAAGATATTCTTTTAATTTAAACGTATTTGATTTGTTAATTCTCAACATCTTATCGATAACTAAAAATACATTTAAGAATCAAAATAAAAGAATTTTTTTTCATTTTATGTAAACTTCGAATCGTTCAATTAATACTGAAACCCATTCCACCACAGGCTTAGATGTCGAAAAAACAAAATAAAATCTATAATTGGTTGAAATAACTCATTGATAAGATTTTCTCAAAATAAAATTCTTAGTGACCTCAAATGACATAATAATAGAGGATCTATTGTAACCAATAAAAAAAGGCATATATTCTTGTTTTTCCCAATTCATTAAAAAACAAATAATATTATAGTTAAAAGCTCCATACACCTTTCAATATAACTTTATCTCAATTTGTTGAACAAAAACAAGAGATATAACATTGTATGAACGAGTGATACCCCGTTTTTTTCACATCAAGCTTGAAATTATTTTATTGATAAGCCGACATTTATTAAAATATCTCTCTTTATTCATAATCTTAGATGTGTGATGAAACAGAATAAAAAATGTCATACAACTCTGAAAAATTTCGTTTTTTACATTAAAAAATAAAGTATTTACAGACCAATTGAAGGCTGTTTTTTTTGGTTTTTCGATTAATATGACAGAAAGGCAACGCAAGGCAGATCTTGATATTTAATCGAAACCATAATCAAATTTTGCCACAGACACATTAACAACGTTTCTTTCTATTACAAATTGCAAGAGAGACCTTGGCAACGCTTTTTTCGGCCATCACAGACTGTGAGAGGGACGTTAGCAAATTCATAATTTATGATGTGAGCAACTTGATCGTGATTCTCTTTTTAATTCCGAAGTGGTTCAGCTAATAGCTTTCTTATAAAATATGCAATGGGAATATTTTTTATTAAATTAGGATCCAAATAAATGGCATATTGTATTTTTTATTTGTGCTATAATTTATATCATTGGAATGATTGCATTTATATTTCTTGGTGCAAGTGAACGACAATCTTGGACAAGGAAATCGACTGTTAATACTGTTTCAAATGAGAACTTATTGTCGAGTAAGTTTTATAGATTATTAATGTATTCGATATAGATATTATTTCTAGTTCAAGAGAAAATTATGAAACAACAATGAACGGACGAAATGCATAGAAATATTAATCAGGCAATTTAATTAATAAGTATCCCAAATATCGGTATGAATCTCATATATTGTATTTGTCATTGATTTTAAACACTAAATGTCAAAATCTGTCTCAATTATTAGTAGTAAATATCTTTGTATAAAAAAAATCAGAATATTGTTTAAAAAAAAATTAATTAAATATTCACAGTTAGTCTCACTAGATAATATCTCTTTTATTTCTATTAAATTTTATCAATACTAAAAGAAAAACATTTGTATATTTTTCGACTAAAAGGTTGAATAAGAATTGCGCTTTGATCATTGAAATCTTACATCAATTCTTTTACAATATTGGAATTTTCCGTTTGACTCATATATAAATCTTTTTTTACCTTTATTATAATGACATATGTTGTTTGTTGTATAATTCTAAATGATTTCACTCAAAAGAACGGAAGAAAAAAAGATGACGAAATTGCACGAAACTGTTTCATTTTATTTTCTTTGAAAGAGTGAATAATTACGAACATAAAAAAACAAGAAGAATTATGGTTCACATTCTTCTCATCATATTCTTTGGTTTTACATGTGGCATGGGAATTACCTGTATTTAAGAGAATCCCCATGAGAACGTCGAGCATGATCTCAGTATACGAAGCACTTGTCAAAATTTAAATTTTTGAATTTTTATGCCTATTCGAAAGGACAATGTCTGAAACTAACAACCATAAATTTTTAGTTCATTCGGACTTTTTATAGTAAGGTTAGCCCTGACCGACTTTTAGCACTATTTACAGTGTGTCAAGAAAAACAATGACAAATCATCTCATTAATGTCTAATAGTAATACACTACTAGGAAGGAAAGTATTTTTTTCATGTTATATACCAAATGATAGGGTATGGATAGATGAAAAAAATGAACTATATGAAATATTGAATATCATTTCTTTACTAGGTTAACATGAATGAAGAGAGGTAACGGGTTACCAGTGTATGACGTTAGACTTTTGAGGGTATATCTGCTGTCATTTATCGAAAACATCAGGACCCAGACTGAATTTTTCATATGTTGTGTAACTGTTGATTCTCTACAAAATAGTAAAAAATAAGGCAAAAAAAAGGCATGCTGGATACAAAATGGACCATATAGTGTCAAAAGCTAGGCAAATAGCATCGAGGAAAACGACCCTAAGCGTTTTCCTACAACTTTCACTAATAAAAATTTTCACTTCGGATGAATAACAATTGTACCCTAGATCGAATGGCATAGACCATTTCTTCGAAAAAAAAGTTTTCGACCCTCCTAGATCCCTGAGATGTAGTACAGGAATTTCGAAAAATTTTTTTTACTATTCGACAAAAATTTTTTTTTACCATTCGACAATTAATCTCAACCATAACTATATAAAGAATGTCTGTTGACTCCTGACCATTGCTAGCTGATGAAAAAAAAGCAACATCTTTTCTAATTTTTATTTTTTAGATGTTATATATATCATTTTTTTGAATATATTCATATTTAAAATGTTATTTGTTGTGTACTATCAACTTGTTTTTTTTACCATTGCTTGTCCGTACGATAACAAATGAGCAGCCATCGTCCCAACGACTTTTACACAACCAAGACTTGAAGCATGCGAGCAAAAGTTATCGGCTACGCTTACCAAATACATGCGCTCCTCTTCTGTTTGGTCTAAAAGCAAGTAAAGTTGAATAATACTTATTATACAAGAATCTAATAGATTATCTTTAGAAATAATTCTGAATTAAATTTATCTGTCAGAATACCCAGTCAAACAAGCCTCTAAAAAAACGCGTTAAAACGCCGTATTAACGATAATCCATCGTAAATACGACGTTTTTACGATTTCTTGAACGCGTTTTAATGTGTTACAACATTTAAGCGTTAAAATATGTAGATTTTTTTTCAGATTTACGTGTTTTTATCCGTTAATAACTCCAATTTCACGCGTTTTTACGTGTACTTTTTTTAACGGGTTTTACTATGTGTAACATTCATACATATATATATGTATATTATGAAGAGAGAAAAGTCTAGCATTAATACAGCAAAACTCTAACTACATTTATCAGGTGGTCTTTAAACGAATAAATCATACTAACTGAATAAGATCGATTTAGACATAAATATGTGTTTGTTTTCTTAGTTAGATAGCCTTTTTATTTGTCGAAATGATAAAGAAGTCTTTGTACTTCTTATTGTATCTACCATGATTGTTGTCCGACCAGACAACAGATTTTGTTATACATCAAATCCGAGAATATTTAGTTTTTTTCTATTTCAATAATATTATTTCTTCTGTAGTTGAATCTACAAAATCGCGTTAGCTGACAGTTTTAACGGTAATTCGTTTAGCAGGTGTTCCACTATGAATATATGGTAACATTGAAGCTAGTGTTTCTCACTATATAAAAGTGTTCCACCTTCACATATCATAACACCTGGTAAAATTCTAGGAACGAGATTAATAAAGCATTACATTGTGAATCCATCCTAGTCTATAAATATATTTATATCTTCGGTAAGATCTTTTTATTCTTAACTTGATGGCACAAGCACTATTGAGAGCTGATAAATAAAGAAATGAAAAGTTTCATATTCGTCTTTTATTTAACTTTGCGTTACTGATCCGTTTATTTCTGAAGTGAGCAGGACACTAGAGGAAATATTTGAAATTTACAGACTTACTAGCTAGAAAAATAGTTCATCCGAGCTCTTATCTATTGTAAAATTACTATGACCATGTTAAAATATTTAAGGACTCATCTATACATTTTTTCAGCAAACTAAGTGTTTAAATTTGAGATATTTCTTCTACCCATTTACTCATACGAAAACTACTTCAGATGCCTCTTGCGATTGCAATGATTTTTTGCCTGTCGATACTACATAGTACTCTAATAAGAAGCCTACAAACATTTGAGTTTCCATTTTGATTTGACTAAGCTATCAAATTTTTCAAATATTTCCTTTCACGAGAAAATCCATAAAAGGTGCTGTGTTTACGATTCTTTTTTTCGTTAAAATTTCGAAGCATTTTTATGCGTTTTTTGTTGTTATTTTTCTACCTGGGAAGCTACCAAATTTTTCAAATATCTCCTTTCACAACACTCTAAAAAAAATCGGTTTTTTACTGAACCCACAAAAAAGGTTTCGGAGATGTCTAAAAGCGTCCAAAGATGTCCAAAGTCTCAAAAAAAGGATAAAAAAATCTACGAAACCTTTAAAGGTTCTTACCGTGTACCCAGGATAAGAACCTTTTTCTGCGAAACCTTTTTTTAAGTTCCGTACAGCAGAAAAAGGTTTCGTAGGAAAATACGAAACCTTTAGGGTTTCATATTAAACCCTAATAGTTTCGTACTAAATCCTCATGATTTCGTAGAATTTAATACGAAACTCTAAAGGTTTCGTATTTTCCTACGAAACCTTTTTCTGCTGTACGAAACTTAAAAAAAGGTTTCGCAGCAAAAGGTTCTTATCCTGGGTACACGGTAAGAACCTTTAAAGGTTTCGTAGATTTTTTTATCCTTTTTTTGAGACTTTGGACATCTTTGGATGCTTTTAGACATCTGCGGAACCTTTTTTGGGGGTTCGGTAAAAAACCGATTTTTTTTAGAGTGAAGGCCTTGTAGAACCACGAGATTTTAGAAAAATCATATTTTCGAAACTTGATCCGACTCTTTTCATATATTTTTTTCGTTAACGTTCATGAATGCATTTTATTTCATTCAAAACTTTAATGTATTAAAATGTGTTAAAGTTTTGAATGAAATAAAATGCATTCATGAACGATAATGAAAAAACAACTAAAAAGCGTACATTTTTAACATACTTTCATTATATTCAGTTGATGATGAATCAATAGCAAACCATCGGTTGTTGGTTTTTATGCCAACAGCCAGAACACCAATAAGTACATTTGATATAGCAACGTTTATTACTCGGTGAACAATGACAACTAAACGTTCACCATTGCCAATATGTTTATCTACAATCAAATCCGAATAAGATTCACCAGTAATTTCTTCAGGCATATTTGGTAAAGCTCCTAAGTTGAAGCCCACATCATTACATATCACGTTGGTGAATAATTGTTGGTAATGATTGACCTTTTCTTTTTTTTCCACTGTTGTATAAACATTTGTTTTTTTATTTAAATCAGCAGCTTTTATTGTATTGTATTGAATATCAACATCAATCAGCTGATTAATATATCGTTGAAAATCCTGAAATCGTTGTTTATTACCATGTCCACCCAAAATTATAATACCTCTAACAAAAATTTTTATTTTATTTTTAAAGAATTTTTTCTATTAAGGTGTATCTTCGGAAGACAGGTATGTGCATCTATCTTTTAAAGAATTAAGGGCATCCTCTTTCCTGACCCAAAATTTTCAGTTTTTTTGTTCTTCATTTTTTTTGTTCTTCATTTTTTATGTTCAATATATACATTTAAATGTCGTCTATCTAATGAACACATTTTGAAAAGTCAAAACGCTTTTTTCAGATATCAAAAACTTGATAAAAGATTCTATTTTATGCTAAAAAAGTCGAAAAATGAGACCTTCTTTGCATTTCTCTCAATATCAAATTTTCATGCAAAAAATTGAAGGTTTTCCTTGTTTTCTCCTACATGGTACAACCGATTGAGCTGAAATTTTTTGTGTAACAAATACGACCAACTCGGAATACCTATCTTTATTTTTTTCTTAAAATAATGTTTTGGTGGTTTTTGACAAGTCTTGCTAAATTTGCACTAGGCAAACAAACACGTGTTTTTGACAGGGATTCCAGTATTTTGGTTCTTTTCAGAGGAGGAAACAATATTTTTCAAAGAAAAAAAACAGGCATCCCGATTTGGTCCTAGTTCTTACAAAAAAAATTCAACCATAAAGAATGAATTCTGGCTGTATGCGACGGTAGTATTATTATTAAAAAAATAATTTTTTTTATAACTGTTATATATGTAAAAGAAATTAAAATGTACATGATTTTTTGGGTGCTCATTGTATAACAGTCATCATTTTATCCAGTTAATAACTCAATATGTAAGTTTTTTAACGTCTTATTGAGTGAACATACGTAATATTTCCATATGGTAATGCGTCATCAATATGATCGCTGATGTCTTCAAAACATTCACGAACATTGTCAAGATTCATTTCCATTGGAAGACTAATATCGCTTAGATGTTCGATAAAAACATCTTCACCATTATTTAAAAAGGCGATAAAACCAATACATGGGTTTACACTCGTCGTTGCTAAGCGATTCTTTGATATACCATAAGGGTGTGGGTGTGGGTGTGGGTGTGGGTGTGCGTGGGTGTGGGTGGGTGTGGGTGGGTGTGGGTGGGTGTGGGTGGGTGTGGGTGTGGGTGTGGGTGTGGGTGTGGGTGTGGGTGTGGGTGGGTGTGGGCGTGGGTGTGGGTGTGGGTGTGGGTGGGTGTGTGGGTGTGGGTGGGTGTGTGGGTGTGACTACACAGAAAATTAATACTCACAACCACACACACCCACACTCACACCCACACTTACATCCACACACCCACACACCCACACACCCACACTTGCATCCACACACCCACACTTACATCCACACACCCACACTTACATCCACACACCCACACTTACATCCGCACACCCACACTGACACCCGCACCCACATCCACACTCATATCCCAAGCGCATTGCTTTCAGATAAAATTTTTGGGACCTTCACCTCATCAATAGCCTGCTTCGTCCAGAAGTTCTTAAACAGAAATAATCTCATTCCACTTACTGATATCTACGGCACTATAGGTTCAAATTCAAAGAAAATAGATATAACTTTCGAGAGAAGACTTATGAGCCCTCGTTCATTTGGAGCTTTTCGTACTTCTCTCACATGTGTCTGCCACTAATGGCTCGAACTCAAAATCAAATTCACGTCTAAATAGGATTCTTCGTTAGCATTCAACTAAAATTCTAGTAACATAGGAATAATCTTCTAGAGAACAGGTAATGCAAGGCTTCCTTTGGAGATTTTTCTCATCTCACCGATAATTACCTTATGCAGAGAGGCTCAACTTTAAACCGAATGATCATTTCCAAGGGCTACCCACTTAAATATGAAATGACAACTATTATATACCTCAAATATCTCAAAAGACCCTCCTCAAAAGAAAAGTAATAATAAAAATCAATAAATTTACTTTCACACCATTATTACGAATCCATCCACAGCAAACGAATAACCAGTACTTAAGGCCAATAAAGAAGCGCTGCAATCAAGAGCTCAGTTGAATCTAAAATACAAAAGGAACGATCTACAGAAAGAAATAAATTAACTCCTGAATAGGAATATGGTATAGATCTACAATAGAAATAAGACAATATATTTCAAGTAAACTTACATTTAAGTATCGACTGAAAATCAATCCGCGCCAAACAGAAAATAAAACATTAACCAAATAAACTTGCAGCTAAAATCAGAACTTCGAATCAATCTATAACGAGAAAACAAAACTTTTAAATACACAAATCAAAGTTACTTTCAAACAACCAGCCATGATCAACCTGAATATACAAAGAACTCATTAATAAATATAATGCCCTATCGTATCAAACTACACTCTAAAAAAAATAGGTATTGTCGAAAACCCTTAGAGGGTTTTCGAGTTTGTTGCTATAGGAAACCCTATAAGGGTTTCCGAGACCTCGGAAACTCATAGTACCAATTATAGCTAAACCTCAAATACCTCTTCGGAAACCCAAATGAAAGGTTTCCGAATGTGGTTAAAGCTCTACCAAACTAGACTAAACGGGGATCCATCATTTCTCTGCCACCAGCAACAAGCATTCACAGCCGCCACAGGCGTTCGATGAGCCTCTGTTGTGAGCCTATCTGTACCCAGAAACAAGTAGAATAGTCATTAAAGGTGGACAGCACATAGTATCCAGAGAAAAACTTTAGTTATCCAGACGCATTTCGTCGCACCATTGCCAAACCATCACGAAGCCGCACATTACGACCTTCTTCGCCTAAAAATGAAGAAACAAATCAATTTTTCGTCGAAAAATCATCTAAACTCACCGATTTTCTTCACATACAAACCCATCCAAACTAATAAACACTCATTCACACGTAAAACACAATTCAACCAAAGTAGTTAATGAGCGAATTTCATATCTCACCAAACGTTTCCCTACGACAATCATCTAAAAATAAAATGAAAATTATATTTTAGTTTACTAAATTGATTCAAATTCACCCGGCCTTTTGAGAGACAACAAGTCTAAGGATGAAAATAAAATTTCATTTTCGTACAATAATTTGAACAGACGTTCCAGATATACTACAATATAAAATGAATCTACAAATAAAAATGAAACTGTTTTTTAATTTAAAGAATTTTTCCAACTCACCAGATTTATTCATATAAAATGAATCCAAAAATGGAAATAAAATTATATTTTTATTTAACGGATTGATTCAAACTCACCGGATCTATCGATATCACACAAGTCTAAAAATAAAAATGAAGCTTTAATTTAGAAAGTTGATTTAAACTTACCAGATCGATCGATATTAAATGAATCTAAAAATAAAAATAAAATTTCATTTTAATTTGATAAATTGATTCAAACTCACTAGATCTATCGATACTCCACGAATCTAAAAATAAAAATAGAATTTCATTTTCATTTAGTAATTGGAATAAACTCACCCGATATATTGATAAAAACGGATCTAATCTCTAAACAAAAATTAAAGATTGTATTTTTATTTAATAAATTGAATTAATTCACACTTTTTTTTCGATATTCGAAACAAATCGATAAATTAAAATGAAAGTGTATTTTAATTTAATATTTGGAATAAACTCACGGGATATATGGCTATATAAAACGAATCCCAAAAGTAAAAGTGAAAATATATTTTAATTCAATTAGTTGATTAGAACTCACCGAATTCCAGAGTGATGTTATGATAGAAAAACAAAAAAAAATGGAATAGTGTTGTATTCATGAAATTACATAAACGCTCTGAATAGATAGAGGAAATGTGGTATTGAAAAGTATAAATTATAAGTTAGAAATATTTTATGAAATAATTTAAAATAACTCACCAACCTGTTAAGATGAGTAGATATGTAAGTAACGAAAACATTTCATGTAAAATCGAATGAATTATAGAATTCATCGAGATGAATTCACGACTGAAATCATAAGAATAGTAAGCTTTCGAACGAGGTATGAAATGAAGGTACTATATTTCCTGAAGTGAAGCAGATTTTCGAGTTCATAATTAATATGATCTTAGATTATTGAAATCGAAGAGAATGGGACGGATACTTAGATAGATTTGATTGATAAAGCGGAGGAATTAATGTAGAAGCTTTTGATCAATATAATATGTTTCATCAAGATTTTGCTCAAGTGAAAATGATTATGTAGAAGAAAATCTTTGGTTTT